CTCAGTGTGAACCTGCTTTCATCTGTGAAGAGCACAGGGCGCCAGTGGCAAATTTACCAATCTTGGTGTTCTCTGGCAAATGCCAAACGTCCTGCACGGTGTTGGGCTGTAAGCATAACCCCCACCTTTGGACGTCGGGCCCTCATACCACCCTCATGGAGTCTGTTTCTGACCATTTGAGCAGACACATGCACATTTGTGGCCTGCTGGAGGTCATTTTGCAGGGCTCTGGCAGTGCTCCTCCTGCTCCTCCTTGCACAAATGCGGAGGTAGCTGTCCTGCTGCTGGGTTGTTGCCCTCCTACGGCCTCCTCCACGTCTCCTGATGTACTGGCCTGTCTCCTGGTAGCGCCTCCATGCTCTGGACACTACGCTGACAGACACAGCAAACCTTCTTGCCACAGCTCGCATTGATGTGCCATCCTGGATGAGCTGCACTACCTGAGCCACTTGTGTGGGTTGTAGACTCCGTATCATGCTACCAGTGAAAGCACCGCCAGCATTCAAAAGTGACCAAAACATCACCCAGGAAGCATAGGAACTGAGAAGTGGTCTGTGGTCACCACCTGCAGAACCACTTCTTTGTTGGGGGTGTCTTGCTAATTGCCTATAATTTCCACCTGTTGTCTATTCCAGTGGACAGTTTGATTTCACAGAAGTGTGATTGACTTGGAGTTACATTGTGTTGTTTAAGTGTTCCCTTAATTTTTTTGAGCAGTGTATAAATAGGCCAGTTTAATTTTGTCTGGCTTGCCGTTCCAAATAAAATTGAATATTTTCTTCTCATATAATTTAAAAACTGTTTGCTAGGTGTAGGCAAGACCATAAGCAAATATGTAAACTGGGATAATACTAAAGAGTTAATCAGGGTGATTTTTCCACAAATTGACAGATATTTACCTTTCCATGGTAGCAAGACCTTATCTATTTCTGCTAACTTTCTATTAACATTTATTGAAAAATTTATGCACTCACTAACTGTAAGTCACTCTGGATAAGAGCGTCTGCTAAATGACTAAAATGTAAAAATGTATTGGAGTGAGAACATTTATTTCATTTAGGATATGTATTCCAAGTATATCCACATCACCATTAAACCATTTTATTGGTAAACTACATGGTAATGTAAAAATTGTATTTTTTTAGTGCTCCAATACGTAATATAGTACATTTATCATAATTTGGTTGAAATCCAGAGAGATTAGAAAATGTATCTAGATCCTCTATGAGGCTGTGGAGGGATTCTAGTTGTGGATTTAAAAGAAAACATGAATCATCAGCATACAATGACACCTTTGTTTTTAAGCCCTGGATTTCTAATCCCTTGATATTATTGTTGGATCTGATTTTAATAGTGAACATTTCAATGGACATAATAAATAGATATGCAGATAGTGGACAACCTTGTTTTACTCCTCTTGACAGTTTAAAACTATCTGAGAAATAGCTATTATTTACTATTTTACACATCGGGTTACTACACATGATTTTAACCCATTTTATAAGAGATTCTCCAAAATTGAAATGCTCCAGGCATTTATATATAAACTCCAATCGTACTTTATCAAATGCCTTTTCATAGTCTGCTATGAATAGCAGGCCTGGTTTCCAAGATTTTTCATAGTGTTCTATTGTTTCCAGTACTTGCCTTATATTATCTCCAATGTATCATCCATGTTAAAAAACCTGTCTGATTAGAATGAATAATGTCCGACAATACCTTTTTAATTCTATGCGCTATACATTTTGCTAGAATTTTGGCATCACAACACTGAAGTGTAAGGGGCTTCCAATTTTTTTAATGGACTGGATCTTTTATATTTCACATTTGTATCCTGTTTCAGTAATAATTAAATCAGCCCTTCTTCTTGAGTGTCTGATAATCTACTATTTACATAGGAGTGGTTAACGCGCTAATTGCGGTCCTCTAAGTATACCAAAAAAGGTTTGGTATACCTCGACTGGTATGCCATCCAACCCTGGAGTTTTCCCGGACTTTAATTGCATCCAGAAGTTCCTCCTCTGTAATTTCACCTTCACATGAGTCTTTCTGTATGGCTGCTAATTTTACATTATCAATAGAAAACAATTAGCTTCAGTTAGAGGAGATGGAGGCGACTGAAACGAAAACATATGCTTAAAGTACTTTGCTTCCTCCTTCAAAATATAATTTGGTGAATCATAGGTGACTCCATAATTTGTAACCAGTTTCAGTAAATTATTTTTGGTAGCATTTCTATGTTGAAGATTAAAAAAGAATTTGGTGCATTTTTACCCATATTCCATCCAGTTTGCTTTATTTTTATAATATATTACACTTGATCTTTCTTGAATAAGTTTCTCCATTTATTTTTGTTTTTCCTCTAATTTATTCTGAGCCTCTATGTTACAGTTTTTATTGCTATCTATCTGTTCTGTTAGACCTTCTATTTCCTTTGTTAGTATGGACTCTTTTGACCTAAATTGCTTTTGTTTTCGAGATGAGTACTGAATGGCACATTTAAAAGTGTCCCATACAATAAGGGGATTTGCTGTACCTATGTTATGTCGGAAAAAATAAGTTATAAATTCCTCTGTCCTAGTTAAAAACAAGTTATCATCCAATAGGCTTTGATTAAATTTCCAATATCCTCGCCCACGTGGAAATTCAGTAAGAGTAATGTATATGCCAATTATATGATGGTCCAACCGCATTCTGTCCCCTATCAACACTTTTTAAACTTTTGGTGCCAACAAGAATGATATAAGAAAGAAGTCAAGACGACTAGCTTGATTGAGTCTCCGCCATGTATATCTCACTAGGTCAGCATATTTAAGCCTCCATATATCTACTAATTCTAATGTATCTATGACATTCATGATTTCCTTAAGAGCATGAGGGTGATAGTTTGTAGTGTGATTTATTTTACGGTCCATTGAGCTATTTAAAACAGTATAATAATCTCCCACCATAAAAATAGAGTATTGTATTGCTTGCAGGGTTGATCATTTATTGTTTATATTATCAAAGAAGCATGGATCATCATTATTTGGTCCGTAAAGGCTAATGAGCCATATCTGTTTATGGTCCAATAACATATTTAAAATCATCCATCTACCTTGTGTATCTGTTTGGACAATTTGCACATTCGGATCGAAATTACTGTTAATTAATATAATCACCCCTTTTGAGTTTCTTTGCCCATGGGAGAAGTATTCGCCCCGCCCCAGTCCTTTTTCCACACAACTTCATCTAGAATTGTTGAATGAGTTTCCTGTAAACAATAGATATTATATTCCTTCTATTTGAGCCATGTAAATATTGTTATTTTGTTATTATCTGCTAAGCCATTACAATTATAACTGGCTATACTTATTTCACCACTTATCATAATGAGATACAGGTTTCAAATCTATTTATCATAATATATGCTTGTAAATTTACCAATACAAAATACCATAGATTTACTGTCATTTGATTGTATTGACATTTCGTTTTTAGCAATGTTAAATAAATACTAAAACAAATAAATAAAAACTGAAATACTGAAATATTTAAATAAATACTAAATATTTTTTCATGAGAGATAATAACCAAAAATATGGCTTATTTGTCTTTATTTACACCACATCGGCTATTTCAAATTCTTGTTTGGAAGCTTTTTAAGTATTAAACCACTTGAGTTTTTCCCCGGTCATGACAGCATAATTATTCCCTGTATGTAAAGACGTATCTGAATCGGCGCGCACACACAGCAGCGCAGCTGCTTGGCAGCGAGCCAGGGGCTCAGCATAGAACATAGCTCAGTGCACTATAAGCGTGGGAGGTAGCAGCGGCCGACCAAAGAGCAACACACAGGTGGTTTTGGAAAGAGAAACAGATCCACCGCAATCAGATGCTATGCGAGAGATGGGCCTACCGCAGCTCGAGCGTCTGTTTAGGGGTGGTGGGGGTTGGGGATGTGTCAAATTTTGAGGTCTCAAGAGCCTAAAGTGGCTTTCTAGTAGTAGACACACTACACAAATCACAGCCAGGTGACTAGCTATTTATAAAGGGGAGAGGAGTTTCCTTTTAGCAATATTTAAGATCCATGTTCTTATTTTACTTAATTCTCTCTCAACCTTGGTATGAAAATATAACTACGCTACTATGGTCTTGAACCCTTCCTCCCTATTTACCACCAGACACATAATAGATATCCACTTCACTTCATCCCCACCCACACACACACTCATATCTCACCTCTTTCTCACCCCTCCCTCTCTCTATGTTTCTCTCTCTCTCTGTGCCCACTGGGTAAAGCATTAGATTACCGTTTCAGCTCAAAAGAAAGTTAACATCCACTATCACGACTATGAACATTAGAGTCAAAAATGATTTAGGTGATGTTAAGACGGAAAGGTAATGAAGATTAAGTGATTCATGCCATTTTTGAATATGTTTATTGACAGGTAGTCAGACTCTCTTGACAAGATGTTGAGACCAACGACATTAGAGTACTTATATTTGGGCTGAAAGCTCTCAATATGCTGGTGTAAAATGTACCAACCAACCCACTCCAGGATTCCATACAATTCTCCCAACATTACTCACACTCTTAGCCAACCGTACAAAAGACTGAGCAGTGATCCTAGACTTATACCAGTGACAGTATGGTTACACCAGTGTGGTTACACCAGTGACGGTATGGTTACACCAGTGTTCCCCATTACCCCCTGGTTACACCAGTGTTCCCCATTACCCCCTGGTTACACCAGTGTTCCCCATTACCCCCTGGTTACACCAGTAAGACCAGTAATCAGAGACAGATGAGACAGACAAGTACATCATTAAAAGTAGTGGATGGTATTTTTATGATCAGAGAGAATGGGCGGCAGGTAGCTTAGTGGTTAAGAGCGTAGTGCCAGTAACCGAAAGGTCGCTGGTCCTAATTCCCAAGCCGACTAGGTGAAAAATATGTCGATGTGCCCTTGAGCAAGGCACTTAACCCTAATTGCTCCTGTAAGTCGCTCTGGATAAGTGCGTCTACTAAAATGTAATCCTTTTCATTTACTGCTAAAATACTTTGGTAATTAGTAAAGATTTAAAAATAAATATACCTGGGGTGCACACAAGTGCATTCATTATGTTACTAGACGGTGCAAAAACTTAATAGAGTAAAATTAAACAGCAAAGAACTGCTAAAAGTAGGATAATTTCATATCAGGACCAAACCCGGTGGTAAAAACAGTGCATGCAAAGAGTGAATTATATAGTATAAAAACCATACTATTACAGACAGACACATCTACCACCAACACCACAAGTCTGATGAAACACAGAGGAAAAGAAAGAGAGGAAAACATGGAAGAGAGATATCCAGACTGGGAAATAGAGGACATTTTGTCATTTCATGCAGGAGCCAAGGGTAAGTAAATCTTTATTAAAGGTCAGTGGGCCATCAGTTGGTGCTTCCATCCCAAAGGTATTTGACCCGCCTCTGCAGTTCATCGATTAATTTCTTCTTAGCTTTCTCCCGGCTGGCTTGCCACTCTTCAGAAGGACAGAGAGAACAGCCAATCAGAAAATAGCCTGAGAGCGAGAGCGTGTGTGTGTGTCCCACAGGGGACCAGTACAAAAAAGTAGGAAGATATTTGCACTTACTACTGTAAGTCACTCTGGATAAGAGCGTCTGCTAAATGACAAACATTTAAATGTGTGTGTATTTGTGTGTCAGAAGCCTACCTTTGTAGGAGCAGATGAGAGGGGCGGAGAAGGTGACTTTGGTCCCAAACTTGTCATTAGTGTACTCAAATCCAGGTTTCTCCAGACCTCTCTTCGCAAACCACTCATCTAGAATGTTCCTCACTGAGGCTGTGGAGTCTGTCGAGGGATTCACAATATCAAAACTAGTGTGTGTGTGTGTGTGTGTGTGTGTGTGTGTGGTGTGTGGTACTGACCCATCTCATCCTCCCCAAGTAGGCCCAGTAAGCGCTGGCTGAGTTGGGCTCTGGTAGCTTTCTTACTGTCCTGTCCTTCAGTCTCCATGCTGTACCTGCCAATCCAATCACAATCATGCACCACCATCAGGCAGTTACTTCTACTCACTACAAACAAGTCTATTATATAATTGTGTGGTAAAGAGATAGTTCACTCAAAATACAAATTTTCAACAAATTCAAAAAATAACACTGAGGGACTATTCATTCAACTTTAAATTCATTTATATTTAGAAATGAGAGTTACATAAATTGTAATCAGTCTTTACCCCGAGAACCTCAGCTGGGTGGAGCTTTTGTACTGAGTTCCAGAAAGGGCGGAGTTAGTAGATGTAAGGCCTGCCCCCTCCAACAGAATACTGAGCCTTTGCTTCGCATCCTCAGTGCTGCTGGTTGGGGCCACAGGACCACAGTAGCCAATGAAAGGAGCCAGACAAGACAGCGCCCTCTGATAGGCCGACTGACATGCTGCAGCCTCACTGGAACCTGTCAATCAAATCTGCCTTTATGTGATACAGTTAATTCATTCAGTACATTCATTTACTAACATTATCCTGCACTACTCTCTCATATATGATAAATAAATCCATTCCAACTAATCATGGTCTTATATACCCTCTCCACGGTAAGTGAAGACACAGGTGATGTCTTTGAGATTGCAGCAGAACCTGCCCTCTGGTCCTGCTACTTCCTCCACAGGCAACGGGAACGACCGCTGCAGGAGAAACTTCTTTACTTTCACTATGGACTGACTCTCATCTACAGAGAGAAGGAGAGAGAGAAAGATGGGAGGAGAGGAAGAGCGAGAGGGGGAGAGAGAAGAAGGGGTGTGAAGACAGGAGAGGAGGAAGATAATGAGGATGGTGAGATCGATTCATTGAGGAGTAATCTTTTTAATTTGAAATAACGATCTGTGGCTCAACTCGTCTGTATTTATGAGAAGCTTTACATACAAGTACAATTGACTGGCTGATTAATTGATTGAATGACTGATTGATTGCTCACCAGTGCCAGGCTGGCAGATATCCCCCGCTGTACCCAGACTGTGGTAGGAACAGCGAATAGCCTCTCTCTTAGAGCTAAACAGGGTCTGGTTCTGGAAGGTATAGCGGTCTAGTCGGACCTCCACCATCCACTCACACCACAGCTCCACAGACACATCCTCACACACCACACATGGGGGCTGCAGACTCCACAGTGCCAGACACCGCCGGATTTCTGAAGCACACATACACGTGCGAAAACACACACACACAAACACACGCTAAGTAAAAGGTACTGAGTAAAACGTTACTGCTAGTTTACTGATATTGAGGCTTAGAATCATTCAGAAAGAGGGTAGTTCCAGGGGGTGGAACCAAGATTATTTTCCAATCGTTTCATTTTGAACAGAACCATTATTTTTTTCGTTCCGTTGCACTGTTCCGACCAGCAAAATAAAGTTCTGGAACCGGTTTGAACCCCAAAAAAAGTACAGGTTTATATCCTTCCATTTCGGCTCCTTTAAAAACATATTTTTTTTTTACATTTAGCTCAACATTAAATTACTTCACCAATCATGCAGTGCGGATAGAGCAGTTTGCTATGGGGAGGGCAAGCTATAGCTCAGTGAGTTGTTTACACGTGAGATGCAACTGAAATTCTGCGGGTGGGGAGAGAGCGAGTGAGGGTGGAGGAGGCGGCTTGCCTTGAAGCGCTGGGCTTCCTGTGATGACATGCATTATCTGAATTAGGCCCACCGAATTACACCTACGGAGAAGCGGCTTCTATAGAGGAACTTTTACTGTCTTTTAACCAGCCTTCGCTTTGGCTCCCCCTCCTGTCCAGCTCAGGTGTTCGGCGTTGCCGGCCTTATAGCTGCTGCCGAACCTACTGCTGGCAAATGCCCTTCACTCATCAACCCCGGACTTGTCTCGTCATCATTACACACACACCTGGTTCCAATCCCCACTCTATCACTGTATATATACTCCCTCTGTCATTTGTCTTTGTCGGTCATTGTAAATGTTACTTGTTTTCCTGAGAGGAATCTCGCCTACTATTTCCTGAGAACGTTATATTTTGCACTTTGGGTTCGCCCTGTGCCTTTTTGTTTATGAAGATACAGTTTGAGCACAACAGCGTTTGGGTTTCGTCCCGCTTTGATCTATGGTGCTTAAATAAATTCAGTAGTCCTAAACCTGCGACTGCCTCCTGCCTACTCCTCTCTACACCAGTGACAAGAGCTGGCTTAACGTTGGACCAGAGATAGCTAGCTAGCTGACACGCTTGTGTGTGCAGATCGTCACCAGAATAAAAAATGCGTCTTATCTTTTTGTAGTTAATAAATACAATGTGAAATGTGATAACTATAGTATCCCCAAAAAGTTAATCCATTCTTCTCTAATACAAAATCTCTCTCTCCATCTTCTGAATCAAGCTTCGGAGGGGGAGGGGCAGGTAGCCTACCCGCACACACACTGGCAAAGATTTTTAGCTGGCAGGCAGACACTGGAAGAAGTTTCTGATTGACAGAGGGAGGGCTTTGCATAGGCGCTTTGTTGCATTTTGTTGCTTTTGCCTGGAACATAAAATAACGTTATTAACCGGTTGCACTTAAAAGAACGGTATTGTTCCGGAACAGTATAGATCACTTTCCTTCCCGGTTCTGATTCTGTTCCTTGAAAAATGTCATTATTTTCCGGTTTTCGGTTCTGTACCCTGAACCGGTTTCCAACCCCTGGGTAGTTCTTTGAGCAGAATAACAAAGAGAGGAGAGTCACCTTCCATCTCTCCCCCTGCAGATCTCTTAGGCGGAGGCGGGCCGGAATCTTCAGGTGTTGTCTCCATGGCAACTGCATCACTAACTGACAACTTGTCAGCCTGTAGAGTGGCGCCAGCAGCAGCAGTTTCCCCGGTCATCTGACTTGCAGCTGTGGGGAGAGAGAGCATGAGATAGAAATCATGAAAGAGAGAGAAGCCATGAGAGAGAGAGAGAGAGCGAGTGAGAGAGACACAGACATACAGAGAAAGATACAGAGAGAAGACAATGTATTAATAATCGAAAAAGTGCTGTGTTTGTTTTTAGCCTCTGACCAGAACAGAGCCAGCAGTAGCAGTTTCCCATCACCTGACTTGCAGCTGTGGGGAGAGAGAAAGAGATAGAAAGAGGTCCAGACTAACCTGCTCCAGTACTGATCTTGTTAGCCTCTGTAGTTTTGTAGTCTGGCTTGGCTCCTCCTCGTCCTCCATGCTTAACCAGCAGCTCCTGGAGTTTACCTTTGTAGTTCTGACCCACTCCGCTGATGTCTCCGCCCAAAACCCCACTCAGGACCCCATTCAGACGCCTCAGGGCCTCCTTAGCTGCCCAATGCTCTGCCTGCTGCTTTTTTGAGGCCGCCTCTTAGAGAGAGCGAGAGAGAGAGAGGGGTGGGGGTGTGTTACAGATGATTGTGAGACATGATCATGTCATGTCCTGGAAAAACTGCAATTACCCTTTATAACCAATGTTTACATCTCATCAAATGTGCTATTGTAATGACATTCGTATAAAAAAGTAACCTGTGCTATGGAAGGTGAGCTCGCCTATGATTCCCAGAGTGCATCTGTGGTTTCCTTCCATTGTTACTACACAGTCCTCCACTGGGGGGCCACACTCTGCCCGTCTGAAGAACTCCAACACACTCTGCTTCTCACCACCTGCAAGGGCAGCAATGACTTTAGGCTGAGTCACAACAACATCCACTAACCAATAAAGTAGGATGACGTTGTCCCCGTACTGATCTATGGTCAGTCTACCTGAAGATGTCCCCCACATCTAAGGTGTGTAGTGTACCTGCTGTAGGTGGAGGATCCAGCGACAGGGCCTGGAGCAGACTGCAGTAGGCTGCTTGTAGCGCCCCCTCTTGAGTGGGGGCCTCCAGTGGGGCGAGGTCCTTCTGCACACATACCATCACACACGCAAAGAACCCCTTGCCATCTGAAAAATGGAGGACGCTCTCGTTTTGATTTACTTAATTTCACACTTCTTTAAAGTGTGTTCTTTCAACAGTGTTGACGGATGTCTTATTTTTTTTAACGTTTCTTCTAGGTACAACGTTTTCTGTTAATATGAAATGGACAATAAAGCTGTGAGTTTTAATGTGATTCTGTGTACCTGAAGAGACGCTGCGCTCCTCTGGGAGGGTGGGCGTTGTTTGGTGGGTGTCTGACTCTGAGGCCCCTCCCCCCTGGGTCTCCATGTTAATTGTGGTATTTATGGGGACTGTGGTATGCATGGCAACCATGGTGACTGTGGTAGCCTTGGGGTCCATAGTAACTGAGGTTTCCATGAGTGACTCTGGGACCACCTGACTCTCGGGGGGCTGCAAGCTAGGTATCATGGGAGCTGGTGGGATGTGAGGGCAGCCTTCACCGTCGTCTGAACCCACTCCTTTCTCTTTCTTCCCTATCCCCCCTTTCTCACCCACACTTGTCACCCCTCCACTCTCCTCCACTCCCCCTCCTCTCTCAGTGATCTCCCCCGTCCCCCTTCCTCTGTCTGTGACGTCATACACAGGCCTGTCCAGACGTGGGGTCTGAGCCTCCAGCAGCTCTTTCAGGGTGCTCACGTAGTTCCCTCCCACCACTTCCTTACTGCCGAGGACTCCGGACAGCCGCTGAAGGGCCACTTTAGCTGCCTGCTGCTGTGCCTGTTTCTTTTTGCTGGAACCCTCTGGAGTGAACCAGAAACCATATTTTAAACATTATACAATACGTACAGTATATATCTACAGTTGAAGTCAGAGGTTTACATACAACTTAGCCAAATATATTTAAACTCAGCTTTTCAAAATTCCTGACATTTAACCCTAGTAAAAATTCCCTGTCTTAGGTCAGTTAGGATCACCACTTTATTTTAAGAATGTGAAATGTCAGAATAATAGTAGAGATAATTATTTATTTCAGCTTTTATTTCTTTCATCACATTCCCAGTGGGTCAGAAGTTTACATACACTCAATTAGTATTTGGTAGCATTGCCTTTAAATTGTTTAATTTGGGTCAAACATTTCGGGTAGCCTTCCACAAGCTTCCCACAATACTTTGGGTGAATTTTGGCCCATTCCTCCTGACAGAGCTGGTGTAACTGAGTCAGGTTTGTAAGCCTCCTTGCACACGCTTTTTCAGTTCTGCCCACTAATTTTCTATAGGATTGAGGTCAGGGCTTTGTGATGGCCACTCCAATACCTTGACTTTGTTGCCCTTAAGCCATTTTGCCACAACTTTGGAAGTATGCTTGGGGTCATTGTCCATTTGGAAGACGCATTTGCGACCAAGCTTTAACTTCCTGACTGATGTTTTGAGATGTTGCTTCAATATATCCACATAATTTTCCTTCCTCATGATGCCATCTAATTTGTGAAGTGCACCAGTCCCTCCTGCAGCAAAGCACCCCCACAGCATGATGCTGCCAACCCCTGTGCTTCACGGTTGGGATGGTGTTCTTCGGGTTGCAAGAACCCCCTTTTTCCTCCAAACATAACGATGGTCATTATGGCCAAACAGTTCTATTTTTGTTTCATCAGACCAGAGGACATTTCTCCAAAAAGTACGATCTTTGTCCCCATGTGCAGTTGCAAACCGTAGTCTGGCATTTCTATGGTGGTTTTGGAGCAGTGGCTTCTTCCTTCCTGAGCAGCCTTTCAGGTTATGTCCATATAGGACTCGTTTTACTGTGGATATAGATACTTTTGTACCTGTTTCCTCCAGCATCTTCACAACGTCCTTTGCTGTTGTTCTGGGATTGATTTGCACTTTTTGCACCGAAGTACGTTCATCTCTAGGAGAGAAAACGCGTCTCCTTCCTGAGCGGTATGACGGCTGCGTGGTCCCATGGTGTTTATACTTGCATACTATTGTTTGTACAGATGAACGTGGTACCTTCAGGCGTTTGGAAATTGTTCCCAAGGATGAACCAGACTTGTGGAGGTCTTGGCTGATTTATTTTGATTTTCCCATGATGTCAAGCAAAGAGGCACTGAGTTTGAAGGTAGGCCTTGAAATACATCCACAGGTACACCTCCAATTGACTCAAATGATGTCAATTAGCCTATCAGAAGCTTCTAAAGCCATGACATCATTTTCTGGAATTCTCCAAGCTGTTTAAAGGCACAGTCAACTTAGTGTATTTAAACTTCTGACCCACTGGAATTATGATACAGTGAATTATAAGTGAAATAATCTGTCTGTAAACAATTGTTGGAAAAATGACTTGTGTCATGCACAAAGTAGATGTCCTAACAGACTTGCCAAAACAATAGTTTTAATGACTCCAACCTAAGTGTATGTAAACTTCCGACTTCAACTGTATATACATTTGACATACACACAATATATTTACAATAATATTTACAATAAAGTATCCATATGGCCTTATACTGAATGTGGCGTTACCTGGGACATAGAAGGTGATTGGTCCAGTGAATCGAAGAGTGCATTGGTAGCTCTTCCCCTCTGCATCAGATTGGATGGCCTCCTCTGGGGGTGGGACATCCCGCGTATGACAGTGCTCCAGGACCACATCCTTACAGGAGGAAGCTGAAGTACAAGAACATAGTTTCCATGACAACAAACATTTTGATGTACATAAGAGAAAACAGGAAAGGCAGATGTACATGACTGTACTGTGGGGTGTCTTTAACCTGATTCTGGTAGATCCAACAGGAGAGCTAGTTTCTTGTAGGCAGACTGAACAGCCTCCGTCATTCCAGAATGCCCCTCTCCAGAGGTGACGTCAGTTTTAAGGACCACAGTGACACTACCAAAGAACACAGGGCCTAAAGACAGAGTTACATGGTAGAGATTAACCAATCAGACACCTTAGGACTATTGGTTGTTTGAGAAACAAAACATGATGATATGATATTTTAACAGATACTATTGATACGATATTTTAACCCATTATATAAATGTGATTGGCTGAGGAATACAGCACCTGTGCATGAGAGGCTTTGTGGTTGGTCCGTCTGGCTACTGGATGCCTCTCCCTCCTCTGTATCATTGGCTAGCTCACTCAGGCTAGCACTGTCCTTGGCTAGCTGGCTCAGGGCCAGTTTAGCCACTTCCTGGTGTGCGGTCTTCGACTTTGGGCACACCTGAACACCTTCAAACGTCTGACCTCTCACCTTCACACGACCCCTGTAACCTGGACAAGCCCATTTTGAGACAAGTCAGAGGGTCAGTCTTCACAGGGACACAGCTGCATGCATCTCCAACATTTTCACATAATAATAATAAATCATTCATTTACAATTAACACATTTTGATAGAGCTGTTTGATGATATTATAAAGATATTACATATAATATTATAAAATAACCCAGCATAACCCACCATAAGACATCTGCTTTACACCCCAGATTTGGATAAGGGCCAGGAGTATTTCCTGACCATGTAGCCTAGCCAGGAAAGTCTGGATGACCGTTATGGGCTACAATTTGGGCATGTTCAGGAAGAACTCCAGGCCCAGGGCTAGGGTTAAGGTTCAGACCTACCGAGGGCTTCCTTTATCTCTGAGAAGACAGGATCAGGCCACCCCTGCCTCCTGGCCTCCTCATACAGATGGTTCTTATATTTGAGGTTTTCACTAGTGAACTGAGGATCTGAAAAACACACAGCCGCCATATGTAAATATTTTTCCTCTGTTCATGGTAAAGTCTGTCTGTGTGAAATTATGTAAATGTAGTGAAGACTAAAGTTGTACACTAGATTCATTTGAATCTTTTAAGATGTAAGCCTCTCCCTCTCTGAGTAGGGTTGGATCCCTCAGTAACTCTCTCCTCTGTCTCTCTACTATCTCGCTATCGCTCTCTCTACCTGGGGTGTATTCATTATTCGGAATCTGTTGCAAAACGTTTTGTCTGTTGCAAAACTTTTTGCAATGGAAACCATTTACTCCAAATGAAAAACAAGCGTTTCTATTGGACATTAAGATAGGTCCCTTCCCGTTTGGTTACGTTTACTCTGTTTGCTTGTTTGGTTCTTAGAGTAAACGGTTTCCTTTGAAAATCTGTTTGCAACAGACAAAATGTTTTGCAACGGAATTCGACTAATGAATACACCCCTGCTCTCTCTCTGGAAAACAAATACCCTGAGAGGGGTTGAATCCATCTCTCTCTCTATGTTCCTCTCCCTCACTCACCGTGTGTGATTGTGTTCCTCTCCAGTGTGTCCACTCTGACAGTGAGTGTGTCCACTCTTTCCTGCACCTCGCTCAGTCTCTCCCACTGTGGCGCCAGGCACTCCTGCAGGTCCTTGTTCCCCTCCAGAAACACCCTCACACACTGCAACTCCTCCGGCTGGGGGTACACACACACACACAAACACATTTGAGGTGCCTTACAGTGAGGATGTGTGTGTTTGTGTGTGTGTGTGTGTGTGTGTGTGTGTGTGAGTGTGTGTTGGTTCTTCTATCCTTGTGGGGACCTAAAATTCCCAAAAGTACCCACAAGGATAGTAAAACAAGGACATTTCCCACGTCCCCATGAGGACAAAGGCTATTTTAAGCTTAGGGGTTAGGTTTAGGGTTAGGTTTACAATTAGGGTTAGGGTAAGGGGTTAGTGGTTAGGTTTAGGGTTACGGGTTAAGATTAGGTAAAATAGGATTTTGAATGGAAATTAATTTTAGGTCCCCACGAGGATAGAAGAACATAGTGTGTGTGTGTGTGTGAGGGGACTTATAGTGTGTGTGTGTGTGTGTGTGTGTGTGTTTGTGAGTCTTACAGTAAGGGCTGTCTCTCGGTCCTCTTCATAGCGGTTGGGACAGACACTCCAACTTTTCCTTCAGTATCTGTTGTTCCAGACTCAGAAACTTCTGGAGATTCAGCATGTCCTCGATGTCCTTATCTGCCGCATGTGCAATCTCCTGCCCAACTTGGTTCACGATAAAACTGAAGTCTTTATTCTTGATCTGGGACAAAGATACCGGTCAGGTTCCCAATGTAAAAGTGGAGTGAGGTATGGACTTAATAGCACACGCACGCATGCACACACACACCTGTTCGATCTCCTCTGCCAGCTCTCTGAATTCGGGGGAGTGTGCTGTCAGAGCCTGGCCCAGGTCTTTGATTCGTCGCAGGTAAGTCTCTAAATCCGTCTTCTCCACCCGGAAGTCAGCTGAGTGCATCACCTGGTTCCTCACATTGGTCACCTGCACACATACACACAGTCATACTTATACACAGGTAAATGTGTACGTGTGTGAGTGTGTGTGTGAGAAAATATTACCTGTGTGAGAAGAGCTTTGGACTTCACAAACTTGGTAAAGTGGCTGCAGTGGGTCATGAGGTTGAGGAAGGCTGAGATGTCAAATTGGTCCACAGTGGTGTGGTCCATATTTCCACGGGGCATGTAGACCTAAACACACACACACAATGACATACCAACTACCAAGGCAGGATGTAGCACACATGATAAATACAGCCAGAGTTTTACTCCAGATGTAGGTGCTTTACCTTGGCTACCTCCCATTTCTCCGTAGGCCACAGATACGGCTTGGAGTTATTCCAGTACACCTGTACGCCTTTAGATGAATGGTTCGCCCAGATCTCATCTCTCCATGGCTCACACACTTTACACACTGGAGGAACCTTACACAGGAACAACATTATAATTACTTTTGTGCTATTAATATCAAGCAAACTTTTTAATTCGATAACAAAAATCTTATTAATCGCAAACAAAAATAATGATATTGAACGCAAACATTAACCCAAAAGTATTGAGAGCAAAATAAATAATATTGCAAGGAAATAATTTAGAAAGGCAAGAACAAAAGAATTGTAAATTAATTAAAAATATATATAATCTGTGAAACATTTTCAATGATTACGCGATTGCAATTAAACACTTCTCTCTTTGACTGCAATTGTTGTACTATATTTGGTTACATTACCCTGCCCTTTGCTTTCACTGCCTATTTATGCATTTGCAAAGTTTTGGCACGTTCATTCCGGGTAGGCAGGGTTTAGAAGGAGGAGGTATATGATGCGTCTCTATTGGTCAACCGGTTTTGGAGTGACAGTTCATCCTAATTTTCTATATCCCAGCTAGCAGCTTAAAATGATGGCCAGTACAGCTCACTGAGGTATGGTAATGCTGGCAAGGCTGAGAGGCAACAGTGTATTCTGCTAACTAGCCAGCTGGTGTATAGAAAAGCTTGATTGTTTTTTATTTATTTCACTTTTCCATTTCGGATAAAAAGGGCTCAGTTGGTACTAGCTAGCCCAGTGGGCCCAACTAGCCTAGCTAGATAACATCACTTTTAAAAACAAGGGGGACATTGGGAAACACCCTTAGGTAAGTGTCTTTTGTGTCTTGTAATTTCACATTTTAGAAGACGCATTGAAACAATTAGCTAGCTAACTAACTAGCATGGTTATATAATGCCTATCACAGCCAGCAAGCAAGATATGATGCACTGAAGTAACTCTGAAGTTACTCTAGTGGTATGTGGCTATTCAAGAACACGGGCACTACAAGCCCTTCTCATGAACTCCAGTACTGTATGGCCTTGGGTGCTCGAGAGCTAGGGCAGCGTTTCATTACAGTGTGATTGTACTATAGACTATTTTGTATTGCATTTGTTTCTTTTTTGTGGCCTGGCTCTCACTGGCTGTCTGTGTGTGTCCATCTGTCTGTCCTGTCTGCCCAACAAGCTCTGTCTCACTGCACAATTAGACATTTATCCACGTTTCTCCAAACATAAAACTTAGAAGTTGCTCAAAAAGTCACTTTTCAAAGTGTTTTTTTTTTACACCTAGGGTTGTTCCTGCTGCTCTGTATCATTCAAATCAAATCAAATTGTATTTGTCACATGTACCGTGAAATGCTTACTTACAAGCCCTTAACCAACAATGCAGTTCAAGAAATAGAGTTAAGAAAATATTTACTAAATAAACTAAAGTAAAAAGTAATACAATAAAATAACAATAACAAGGCTATATACAGGGGGTACCGGTACCAAGTCAATGTACGGGGGTACAGGTTAGTCGAGGTAATTTGTACATGTAGGTAGGGGTAAAGTGACTATGTATAGATAATAAACAGCGAGTAGCAGCAGTGTAAAAACAAAGGGGGGGGGGTCAATGTAAATAGTCCAGGTGGCCATTTGATTAATTGTTCAGCAGTCTTATGGCTTGGGGGTAGAAGCTGTTAAGGAGCCTTTTGGACCTAGACTTGGCGCTCCGGTACCACTTGCCGTGCCGTAGCAGAGAGAAGTCTATGACTTGGGTGACTGGAGTCTTTGACAATTTTTCGGGCCTTCCCCAAATCTTTTCAGTCTTCAAAACCCAAGTCTACTTGATGGTAATAGCGCTCACTGTTGCCCCTAGTGCTTTTCAACTAATCCATTTTGTGTTCCAACCCTTAGGAAACTATGAGAAGGGAGTGGTTCAGCTGACTAACGTCATAGCTGTGTGCAGGCCACCCCAGCAGCTCCTTCAGCAGACAGCCCCTTCCTGTCTTCCAGGTGCTGCTGACCAAGCTGCCCTTCTATCAGCAAGGTGATGATGCTCTCCTATGGGAAGCAAGGGCTGTAGTGGCACCAAAATGGCTGAAAAATGACTTGGTGCCCTAAACCCTGTTCCTCCAATGGTCTTTACTTGTTAACTCCCCTTCATGGATTTATGGCAATGGATTGCTACAACCATGGTTGGGGGGAGTTCCGCCATATTCCTTACACCACCAGTTAATTCCTTTTAACCCCTTACACTTGTGGGAATTGGCCTATATGGATAGGGCTACATTGAAATGTTGTAGCAATTAAAAGGGAACAGTTTGGAGACAATGTGAAAATGATTAGACTAAAGGTGAGGACACGACGCTTCACCTGACAAGACTGAATCCAAGACTGATTTTATGTGCATTTTACATTTACTGTACTTTTTACCACATTTGTTGATAACGAAATCTGAAAATACTCTGGATACATTCAGTAACATGATCAGAATATTCTTAGAAAATGTGGGGTTCCATTGCCAACATGACTAGCTAAATGATAAAATATGACCTTACAGTGTTAGGCTTCACTAAGCAATTCAGAGAAGCAGATCGTAATTTTGCTGCGCATAGAATGGAGTCATGAGTGCATTTTTGGTTACTACATGATTCCACATGTGTTGTTTAATAGTTTTGATGTCTTCACTATATTCTACAATGTAAAAAATAGTAAAAATAAAGAAAAACCCTTGAATGAGTAGGTGTGTCCAAACTTGACTGGTACTGTATATAGTGTATTTATAGAATCAAACGGTAGGCTACAGTTGCCTACAATGGCATATAAATTAAATAGCCTACATGATGGCCAACAGATGCAAATGTATCATTCTCCACATCAGGTTAATTGTGGAGTTTTTCCCATAACAGAAGCACCCAAGTTAGTTCCATAACTTCCATTTCAAATTACCACTCACGCAGCGCTGCAGACCCTAGAACAGAGCATGCGTAAAACCCTTCGCTTGATAAAGTTTTCATTAAGAAAAGTCGACTTTAGAATGCAGAATGCCAAAAGTGTGCAAAGCTGTCATCAAGGCAAAGGGTGGCTATTTGAAGAATCTCAAATATAAAATATATTTAGATTTGTTTAACACTTTTATGGTTACTACATGATTCCATATGTGTTATTTCATAGTTTTGATGTCTTCACTACTTTCTACAATGTAGAAAATAGTCAAAATAAAATAAAAACCCTTGAATGAGTAGGTGTTCTAAAACTTTTCACCGGTAGTGTACACATATATATATATATATATATATATACATATACAGTATCTCACAAAAGTGAGTACACCCCTCACATTTTTGTAAATATTTGAGTATATCTTTTCATGTGACAACACTGAAGAAATGACACTTTGCTACAATGTAAAGTAGTGAGTGTACAGCTTGTATAACAGTGTAAATTTGCTGTCCCCTCAAAATAACTCAACACACAGCCATTAATGTCTAAACCGCTGGCAACAAAAGTGAGTACACAAAATTGGGCCGAATTAGCCATTTTCCCTCCCCGGTGTCATGTGACTCGTTAGTGTTACAAGGTCTCAGGTGTGAATGGGGAGCAGGTGTGTTAAATTTGGTGTCATCGCTCTCACACTCCCTCATACTGGTCACTGGAAGTTCAACATGGCATCTCATGGCAAAGAACTCTCTGAGGATCTGAAAAAAAGAATTGTTGCTCTACATAAAGATGGCCTGAGCTATAGGAAGATTGCCATGACAAACTGTACACTCACTACTTTACATTGCAGCAAAGTGACATTTCTTCAGTGTTGTCACATGAAAAGATATACTCAAATATTTACAAAAATGTGAGGGGTGTACTCACTCTTGTGAGATACTGTACATTTATATAAATATATACACATACATACACATATATATATATATACACATACATATATATATATATATATATATATATATATATATACATATATATATATACATATATATACATATATATATATATACATACATACATATATATATACATATATATATATATATATATATATATATATATATATATATATATATACACATACATATTAGGGGTGTAACGATCCATCTACTACATCGATGTATCGATTTATATTCATATGATCCAACTACATCGATCTGTGCTCGGCGAGTTGGCCTTTTGGACAACATATATCGATCTAACATCGTTTTAAAATGTAATAAATCGATTTGTATCGATACTAGGAAATAACCCATTGGATTTAAGCACGTCAGACTTTATATGCAGGGGTGCACATAACTGGTACGCAGATACGCAAGCGCGACAAAAATCAGGAATGCGTAATGCCACTTGTGTTACTACGCGCCTTTGCGTACTTGACCGATCTTCTCATCTAACCTTACACATGACATGTTGCTTGTCAACTACTGTCAGGGATGTCCAAAAAGCAACAGACATTAAGCAGCTTCTTTGGCGTTTCACCACCTACAAAGAAACGCCAACTGGAGCCAGAGCCGAAGAAAATACTTTTTTCGGAAAAGTGGCTCCAAGATGTGCAGTGGCTTGAAGCTAACGATGAGCGCACTGAAATGTGGTGCAAGATTTGCCGCTCAAATCCACATCTAGCAGACAAAACAGGTGCATTTTATAAAGGCTCAAAGAATTTCAACCATCCTTTATTTGACAAACATGAAAAGAGCAAGGAGCACAAGAATGTGGCGCAAGCCATTGCTAAAAGCTAGCCGAGAATAAATGTCCAGTCGCCCACTTGCCAGATGGCGAGACAAGCTGAATGAAGAACAGCGGCAAGCTCTGTTTAATATTTTTCTCTTTCCATAAAGCTAAACACGCACGTCCCATGTCTTCCTATTCTGAGGATGTTCCTTTACTGAAGCGGATAGGAGTAAATGTCGGAGGTGCATATCATTCACGTGAAGGGGACACACGGATCATGCAGAGCATCGCTCACACCATCAGCGGGGAGTTACGAGCCAAGTTGCAGTCTGCTGAATTTTGGGGGCTGCTTTTTGATGGATCTGAGGACATCACAAAAACTGAGCAGGAAATAGTTTACATTGTGTCTGTGTCCAGCAACGGAGAGTTTACTTCGGACTTTATTGGACTGATTGAATTGGGTGCTGACCGAACCGCACAGGCCATAACAGACGGACTTGTGAGACTTTTCCAGGACACAGGCTTGGATGACTGGACAACAAAGTTGGTCGCTGTGTGCACAGACGGGGCTGCTGTCAACGTAGGTATCTACAACGGCGTTGTGCCAAAACTCCGGCAACATGCTGCGGTTGGAGACTCCCTTGTGCACATTCTGTGCACCGCACACACACTGGAGAATTGCGTGAAATCAGCTGATCGCAACGTTCCTTACTGTGAGACATTTCATCGCTCTGTGGTCAAGCTGCTGCAGTTTTATTTACAAAAAGGTGGAGCAAAAAAAAATGCTGCACTGAATAAAGCTATGTGAAGAAAATGGGATCTCCTTTGTGGAACTGGGTAAGTTTCATAATACCAGATGGTCTGCATGGAGGCATGAAACACTGTTAAAAATATCAAGACTATTGCCAGCCATTAAAATGCAACTGGTTACCAGGTATTTATTTCAGTCACACTGGTTGAATTTTTGCCTAAAAGGTTACTGAATCGATTTCAAGTCACTGAATCGTTTCGGATCGTATCGTTCTAAATGAACCAATATCGTCCTTGAATCGTATCGACAACCACGAATCGTGATACAAATCGAATCGTTGTTAAAACGAATCGTTACACCCCTAATACATATGTATATATATATGTATATATATATATATATATATATATATATATATATATATATATATATATATATACTATATATATATATATATGTATGTATGTATGTATATATCTATATATATATATATATATGTATATATATATATATATACACATACACATGTATGTATATACATATATATACGTACATATATATATATATATACACACACACACATATATATATACATATATACATACATACATATACATATATACACATATATATACACATACACATATATACACATATACATATATATATACATATACATATATATATACACATATATATATATATATATACACACACATATATAGTAAGAGAAATGCCATGGCGGCCGAGCTACAATTTAGAAGTAGGCCAAAAACCCGCGACCAATAGCCTACATTTCCACCCGCGACACCGTTTTCAATGTAGCCAAATTTGTAGAAAACCGCACACATGGCAACCCTGGGTAGGCTATTCTACATGATGACATTATTATGGATAAACGCTAGAATATTTGTATTTGTCAAAAGGCAGTCAAGCATCAATCGTCAAGTCACCAGAATCGAACCCTCGATATTTATTGGAAAGGCGTATCAACATCACAGTGCACTTTCACCACCCTGTGAAGTTCATTACCTTTTCATCTGTAGCCTAATAAACTGCACGGTTTCCCCGAGTCATAGTGGAAGGACCACGCAACATATCATCACGTGACCCCAAGTTTACTTCTATAGGATGGTTATTATATCAATATTTGCGCATAAAGGTGTTTCCCCCGCCATTTCTCGCATAATACAGTTTACCAACACAAAAAGATCTGTCCGCATTTATAAAATTGTACCGACACTTCCTGTTTCCATCACAGCTGTGTGATTTTTTTTTAATACTGTATGACTTCACTCCATAAAAACTGGATGGAAACGTGCTTACAGAAAACAAAGTTTTCAATACTAAGAATTTGGTTCTCGAATTCAAAAGGTGTGTTTGATATTAAAAGCACAAAAGTAACTCCATAAAACAACAGTTGTAGCCTATTACGTGAGGGGATTGAAGCAGTGGAACTCATGATGACATCAGTGAATGGGCAGAACATGTTTTAAAAGTAGGGACGGAAACTCAGATATCATGCGAGTTACATTGTAACGCCCATATCATTTTAATCACCTGCTTTGGCCTGGAGCTCCATTTCTTCAGGTTACATTCAGTTTTACACACATTGTCTGTGTTTACTTTGTTTCGGAGGTGATCGTGGTAAGTTTCGGTTTCGTTTTCCAGGAATCTGCCTAGTCGCGTTTTAAGAAAATTCAGACCCATGGTCGTTTTAATCCAGTTTTTATACCCCTCATCCTGAAACCTTCTGAACGTGTCCATGGTGAAACAAATGCCGTGTCGTTGTGCCGGATAATAATTCCTTTCCCGTTTCCAATCCTCCGGTACCAGCCGATTCGATCAGTCCCGTAACCGCCGACCTACCTATCCACCGGTTAGACAGGCTGTCTAGACTCCTGCAGAACTGTCAGGCGCACAGGGTCCAGGTCCAACCAATGAGCAGCGTTCTCGCCGCCATCATAACACATCACATGACCTGTACGTAGATCGATTCCTACTGTATTTTTGGGAAAGTTCTCTCACCTCCAAGATACACATTTAACCCGTTTATACCCAAATACTTTGCTTTAGTTTGCTTCCATTTATTACTACAGCAAAACTAATCTTCCAATGTACGGCCTTGCATTCACAACAATTATAATAGAAACGCAGGACATTTCAGTGATTCTGCATTTATGCAAGTTTATTTCAGAACATGTTCTTGCTCTTACAGGTCTGGTCACTATTCAATCACAAAGTGCCTCAATGTGATCTACAGCATAGACAGACCTACACCTCAATATAACTTATTTAACAAATAAAACATTTTTAAAAAGTATGGTCATGTTAGAGAGTTGTTTTGGGGGGCTAATCAATTTCCCCCTTATTTCCCCTTCTGGTCCTCCATGATTTTAAAACAGAACAGTTAGGGTTTGTTCAATCAAAGCGGTGTCTGGATTTACAGAGTAAACATAAAACTTCTTGTACATGCACATTTTCATACATTCGGTCAATAAAACCAAGTTCATATCGCAAGCAAAATCAGAATATTTTTCAGACTGCCTAGATTTGAATAGTTCCCTGGGTTCTACTGTCCTGTCCTCTGGTAGGTCACTGATCAACCCATGACCCCTGATCCCTAACCCCTCTCCTGGCATGATTGTTCAGTTTAGTCCATAGACTTAGATCAGGGTCCTCAACTGGCGGCCCGCGGGTGGTTTTATTTGGCCCCCTATGTTTTCTGAGCAAATAACAAACACACATATATATATAAATGGTACCAGTCAAAAGTTTGGACACACCTACTTATTCAAGGGTTTTTCTTTATTTTTACATTGTAGAATAATAGTGAAGACATCAAAACTATGAAATAACACATTTGCAATCATGTATTAACCAAAAAAAGTGTTCTATATTTGAGATTCTTCAAATAGCCACCCTTTGCCTTCATGAGAGCTTTGCACACTCTTGGCATTCTCTCATCCAGCTTCATGAGGTAGTCACCTGGAATGCATTTCAATTAACAGGTGTGCCTTCTTAAAAGTTAACTTGTGGAATTTCTTTCCTTCTTAATGCGTTTGAGCCAATCAGTTGTGTTGTGACAAGGTAGGGTGGGTATACAGAAGATAGCCCTATTTGGTAAAAGACCAAGTCCATATTATGGCAAGAACAGCTCAAATAAGCAAAGACAAACGACAGTCTTTAAGACATGAAGGTCAGTCAATACGGAACATTTCAAGAACTTTGAAAGTTTCTTCAAGTTCAGTCGCAAAAACCATCAAACGCTATGATGAAACTGGCTCTCATGAGGACCGCAACAGGAATGGAAGACCCAGAGTTACCTCTGCTGCAGAGGATACGTTTATTAGAGTTACCAGCCTCAGAAATTGCAGCCCAAATAAACGCTTCACAGAGTTCAAGTAACAGACACATCTCAACATCAACTGATCAGAGGGGACTGTGTGAATCAGGCCTTCATGGTCGAATTGCTGCAAAGAAACCACTACATTTACATTTAAGTCATTTAGCAGACGCTCTTATCCAGAGCGACTTACAGTTAGTTACTACTAAAGGACACCAATAAGAAGAAGAGACCTGCTTGGGCCAAGAAACACGAGCAATAGACATTAGACCGATGGAAATGTGTCCTTTGGTCTGGAGTCCAAATTTGAGATTTTTTGGTTCCAACCGCTGTGTCTTTGTGAGACGCGGTGTGGGTGAACGGATGATCGCCGCATGTGTAGTTCCCACCGTAAAGCATGGAGAAGGTGGTGTTATGGTGTGGGGGTGCTTTGCTGGTGACACTGTGATTTATTTAGAATTCAAGGCACACTTAACCAGCATGGCTACCACAGCATTCTGCAGCGATACGCCATCCCATCTGGTTTGGGCTTAGTGGGACTATCATTTGTTTTTTACAGGACAATGACCCAACACACCTCCAGGCTGTGTAAGGGCTATTTTACCAAGAAGGAGAGTGATGGAGTGCTGCATCAGATGACCTGGCCTCCACAATCCTCCGACCTCAACCCAATTCAGATGGTTTGGGATGAGTCGGACGGAGGAAAAGCAGCCAACAAGTGCTCAGCATATGTGGGAACTCCTTCAAGACTGTTGGAAAAGCATTCCAGGTAAAGCTGGTTGAGAGAATACCAAGAGTCTGAAAAGCTGTCATCAAGGCAAAGGGTGGCTATTTGAAGAATCTCAAATATAAAATATATTTTGATTTGTTGAACACTTTTTTGGTTACTACATGATTCCATATGTGTTCTCTCAAAGTTTTGATGTCTTCACTATTATTCTACAATGTAGAAAATAGTAAAAATAAAGAAAAATCCTTGAATGAGTAGGTGTGTCCAAAGTTTTGACTTGTACTGTATATAAAAACATTTTTTTTTTGCATTTTCATTGCTGGACATCCAAAAATATAAATACACCAGGAAATCAGCTCCAATTGATTTTAATTTGGGAAATCTGATCCCAAGTATTTCCACGCATAATAGAGAGACACATGATCATATACAAATGTAAGCACGGTTTGAAATTATTATGTTTAATCAAATATTATATCTATTTGGACTTCTTGCGGTCAATTTTCAGTCTACAAATTATTTGTAATTATGTTCCGGCCCCCCGACCATCCACTCAAGAAAAAAAAAATTGGCCCCCGCCTGAATCTAGTTGATGATCCCTGACTTAGATAGACATAGCATCATTGCATGGGCACTGTCATTGAGTCCATTTTGAAGTAGTACATTTTCTTCTTCTACTACTTCTATGAGTTGGCAAACAAACTGAGTGCATACTGTCACCTGTATTCTGGCCGGTATACCATATTTTACTATATACCGGTATTGATGATGCACAGACCGGTTTGGGTTTTTACTTTAACTTCCATAACGGTATTTTAATTTTTGGTTTGTTAAATGTGATACGCCTTGTGTAATGTTCATTTTTATAGTTTACACAGCTACTTGAGTCATCTTTCTCCCCTCACTCCATGCCACTTTTCACACAGACCTAGTCCCGCCGCTTCACTCAAGGAGCACATTTGTTGTATCTCAACCATGAGACACTTGATCAATGCATGGTCAATGCAGCACATGCAACAATGAGGATGACTACGATGCTGTTTCCACTTTACTTTTTAATATAAATCCACAAGCGTTCTATAATTACACTATTAGTTTGTGTTTCTTACATCTGTAAACATCTAGTTTGTCTTTTCTTAGCAAGTTGTGGCTAAATCGTGTTAGCCGCTAATGCTAATCGCTAGTTAGCTGGCTAGCTAATACATGTACTGAGTCAGAGCAAATGTAGCTAGCTATACAGCCTGATACCAGTGATTGTGTAGGCCTAAATCACCATGTTGTTTGTGCAACAGTATCTTCTAAATCAGGGGTGTCAAACGTCCGGCCCGCGGGCCGGATCAGGCCCGCAAACGGGTTTAATCCGGCCCGCGAGATGATTTAATTAAAAAAAAAAAAAGTCATAATAATTTTGTAAAGTATAAAAATGCGCTGCAATTTTTCAATAAAATAAACTGCTGTTCCAATTGCGTCCACTGGATGGCGCAATAGCGATTGTGTTAAGCAAGCAAACTGTTTATACCGGGGCAGAGCAAGTAGGTCAAGCACGTGCAGCCAATGAGCTACTTTGTTTTGCCCGCGATATTTATTACGGCTTCTACTTTTAACATTATGTGCTTTGGCACCCTCATTGCCCCAATATGTCTCTGTCAAAAAAGAGAAAAGTGGACGCAGAGTGCAGAGTGTTCCAAGAAAAATTGTCATCCTATTTATTCACTGAATTGAATGGGAAAGCTGTATGTTTGGTGTGTTCAGAGCATGTTGCAGTGCTGAAAGAATATAACCTTCGTCGCCACTATGTGAGTCTTCATGCCGACAAATATGACAACTTTCAAGGACAGCGGAGATGAGAGAAGGTGAATGAACTGTTGGCGGGTCTGAAGAAACAGCAGTCTGTGTTTACTCACAGCCGAGACATCAGTGACGCTGCAGTGAAAGCTAGCTACCTCATTGCTAATGAAATCGCAGTGGCTTCAAAACCATTTAGTGAGGGTGAATTTGTAAAAACATGCATGATGAACGCAGCGGAGATTGTGTGCCCTGAAAAGCGGCAGGCTTTTGCAAATATCAGCCTGACAAGAAATACAGTTGCAGACAGGATTTCCGATCTTTCAGTGGATTTGGACAGCCAGTTGAAGCAAAAAGTAAAGTCATTTATTGCGTTTTCGGTTGCAATTGATGAAAGCACGGACATTACAGGTGTTGCACAACTGGCCATTTTCATCCGCGGAGTTGATGACACATTGACCGTCACCGAGGAGTTTGTGGAGTTGGTGCCGATGACAGATACAACGACAGCAGCTGATATTTTTACCGCACTCGTCGGCGCGCTGGACAGGGTCGGAGTGGACTGGTCCCGCGCTGTCAGCCTGGATACAGATGGTGCGCCCTCAATGATCGGGAAAAAAGCAGGCGTTGTGACAAAGTTCAGAGAGAAAGTGCAATCTGCAAATGGAGGACGTGATTTTTTTGACTTTTCACTGTATTTTGCACCAGGAGGCTTTGTGTTGCAAGTCATTAAAGATCGATAACGTCATGAAGGTGGTCATCCAAACTGTTAATTTCATCCGATCCAGAAGCCTGAATCACCGTCAGTTTGACAGCCTTCTCAGAGAGAAAGACCACATCTATGGCCTGCCATACCACACTGAGGTAAGATGGTTAAGCCAAGGTGCTGTGCTGAGGCGTTTCTTTGATTTACGAGAAGAAATTGAACAGTTCATGGAAGAAAAGGGCAAACCAGTGTTAGAATTTCATTCCGCAGAATGGATGCAGGACCTTGCATTTATGGTGGATGTTACAGAGCACCTGAATAACTTGAACAAACAGCTGCAAGGGCGCAACAAAGTTGTCACGCAGTATTATGACAGCATACGTTCTTTCAAGTTGAAGCTGTCATTGTGGGAGACGCAACTTGCCGGTGGTGATGCAGCTCACTTCCCCTGTCTGAAAAATGTGTGCGCGACCCAACATGTGGCAGACATGAAGCGGTTCAAAGATAAAATAATGGGACTGTTACGGGAGTTTGAGCAACGCTTTCAGATTTATGTTTATATGTTTTTATGTTGATGTGCTATTGTTTTTAATAGATTTTATTTTATTTGTATATTTAACCTATTCTTGACTCTGTGGTTCTTGCACTTGTTTGGGGAACAGGATTTCATTATTTTTATCTACATTTCTGCCTGAGAAATGACACCCTGATATAGTTCTGTGATCTGTGATATACTTCTGTGAATCACTGAGGCATTGTGTGTTTGTGTGTTCTTTTTCTTTAGAATTTTCAAATAAACTTGACGTGTTTTATGATTAATAGTGATGTTGTGCTTGTACTATTTTGGACACACTGTCCTCATGCTCCAGCTTTATGTTGTATGTTGATCGTATTAAAACAAAGAAAATAATCTGAAGTTGTTGTTTTTAAGTTATATATATATATATATATATATATATATATACCATGATTTTTCCGGTCCGGCCCACTTGGGAATAGATTTTCCTCCATGTGGCCCCTGAGCTAAAATGAGTTTGACACCCCTGTTCTAAATCAAAGAGGAATAGACAAAGCATGAATATGTTAGCTACATGAAGAAAACATTTAATGTAGCCAAATATTATAGGGTCCCCTAGGAAACACTGACCAACACTTTGGTTCCTACCCTGTCACAATAACTCCTCCCTGGCATTTGTATTTGTTGTCATGTCAAACACTGTATTCAAACTATAGAATTATAATACTAATTATATTTCCATGATTCCATCAGTTCACCCAAGTGTTCTGATCTAAATCGCAAGTCAAATCACAATTGCAACATTTGGTTAAAAATAAGGCCTACATTTTTTGCCAATATTGTGCAGCCCTACCTAGCAGTGTGGAAATGATTTCAAATGAGTGCAGGAAATGCAGAAAATTATTTTTTGTTTAAGTTTAATTGAACATTATAAAACAATCAGAATGGAGTGGCCAATTCAATTCACCCTAGGGTCACGCATTACTCATAAAGCAAATTCAGAACGTTTATTATTCAAAACATTAAATACCATTTAAAAAAATGCTAATACCGTGATATGATATTTTGGCCATATTGCCCAGCCCTACTGTAGTGAGTTGTTTGAACAGGTACAAAGCCAAGGTTGGCGATTTACTGCCACCTGCAGTTATGGAATGTTTGCTCACAACTATAATTCATTGGCTGATCCTTCCTGATGACCCGAATGGAATCATGTGATCCTTCCTTAACCCATAGGAAGTCCCACTCAGTTGACTACTTAAAAATGGTGAAAGTCCTCAATGGTGCAGCACATGCTAAAACTGGCTTTTGGGCAGTAGAGTCCTCCATCTATCTATCTCTTATGGTTCAGTCCTCACCTTTGCTCTCCTCTCTTCCTCCCGCTCTCTTCCCCTCTCCTCTGATGAGTTAGAAGGTTAACTGGTTACTCAGGTGTCTCCTTTTCATTCCCCCCTTTCCCTCCCACCTCCCCCTTCTCTCGCTCCTCCTCCCCTTCTCCTCTTCTCCTCCTCTGAGTCTCCATTGATGTGATGGTCTGGAGTTCAGAGGAGAACTGGTCACTCAAGTCTCTATTGGCCAGGAGGAAATCCCTCAGTCTCAGCAACTCCTCAGTGTCCTACAGAATACAGCAGACAGTCAGTCACACAGTAGTCAGACAGACAGAGTCAATCAGTCAGACAACTAATGGTTAGAAGTGTGGTTAGAAATACCTGTGTGTCTGTGTCAGTAAGCAGCTCTTGCAGCCTCTCTCTCAGCAAGTCTGTTTCCCATTGGCTGATAGACTCAGGCTCCACCCCCTCCCACAAGGACCCGTCCACTCGGTCCACACCAGGAACTAACACCGACAAATCAACAGCCAGCATCTGGACACAAATAAATACACACATAGCATTTCAGCTCCATAGATCAAAGGTGAAACAACACACAGATCTGAGAGCTGATATAAACCCACGCACCTCTAGTATCTGTTGTCCGGCTGCTGCCACTTCTGGTAGGTGTGTGAATTGCCGTAAGAGCTGCTGTATGCTGGCCTGGTAGTGCCTCATCCACTGGTCACATACTCGCATCTCACAGGAGTGCATCAGCTCGTTCCTACACCTGATAACCTTAGACGAGACGCATACACATTCATAACACACACACACAAACACAGGTGACGTGTGTTTATACTGTGTGCATGTGTGTTTGTGTTACCTCTCTGACACAGCGCTGGTCTACGTAGTTGAAGTGGGAGCAGTAGTTGAGGAGGTTGAGCAGTGCGGACGCATCACACAGCTCCGCCCCCTTAACCCCAGCCTGACCCCGCGGCATGTAGGCCTGTGGGAGACAAAGGAAGATAGGAGAGGGGGAGAGAAGTAGTCAATTATCTAAATTAACAGATGAAAGTAAGGCGAGTACAATTTCAATAACAGACCCAATAAAATCAGTAATGTTTTAGTTCGCACACACACACTACCTTTGCCAGTTCCCAGTGGTCCTGGTTCCAGAGTGGGGGACTGCAGTTCCCCCAGTTCACCGTCCCGCTGGGGTTTGTGTGGTGCCTCAGGATCGCTGTCCTCCACTCTGCACACACCACACACACAGAGTACAGCTGTGGAACACACACGAGAAAGCATCATTCAATCTCGCGTGACCATGAATCCAAATCTCGTCTTGTTGACTCGACCAGAGAGGAAGCGGCGAAGTGAGAGGGTTTACTCCCGTCAAAATCTGTCCACGATAAACAGACTGATAAGACCGCCTGCCTTCCCACCTTTGGGACAACGACTTTCATTGTTAGAGCAGTCACTCGACTATCTTGTCAATATAATAGAAAATCTGACTCAACACACGTGCCGGATAATAGGGGGTGGGAAAGTGTCTTGGAAGTGCTGGAGATGGCGGAAGTGCTGGTTGATGGCAAAGCAGATTCCAGGAGTGGTAGAGCATGTCACCTAAACGTGTAGTAGATGGAAAGTCAATCGGTGTTACTGATGTTTGAAGAACAGTATCTGCCTATTCATGGGAAGCTGGTATACATAAGATACGCACTGAGTGTGTTTGGGAATAAATCTTTGCAGTGTCGAAATTGCAAAAGGTATGGTCATGTATCAAGTGTGTGCCAACAGAAGCAATATATTGGTGATGATCTACAGCTTTATTTTACCTTTATTTAACTAGGCAAGTCAGTTAAGAACAATTTCTTATTTACAATGACAGCCTACACCGGCCAAACCCGGACGACGCTGGGCCAATTGTGCGCCGCCCTACGGGACTCCCAATCACGGCCGGTTGTGATACAGCCTGGAATCGAACAAGGGGGTCTGTAGTGACGCCTCAAGCACTGAGATGCAGTGCCTTAGACCGCTGAGACCACTGCGCCACTCGGGAGCCCACCTTACGGTATTGCAATTGTGGTGGAAATCACGTTGCCGAATTCCTGGAGTGCCTTGCTAGGGTGAAGGAGTTTGAAGTAGCACGGATCTGGGCTGTACAGCAGGTCTCCTACACGGAGGTGCAGGAAATTGTTGAAGGAGTGAGTGGAGCTGAGGAAGCCATGGCAGTGGATGCCCAGCAGCCAGTTGAGATTCAGAATGTTGTTCATCAGTTGAAGGATACAGACACATATATAGTGGATTAGGTGGATTGTGGCATTTATTATAGTGATTAATTGTACTGCCCAAATGAGCAAGAAGTCAAGAAACTGGACATAATTGTATCTGCGGCTGCAAGGTTTTGTGGTATTCAGGAATTAACAGCTGAAATATTGCAGGGAATACTGATTGAACTTTATCCCCTCCCAGGCCCCTAAGCCTGTGTAGGGGTGTGAATTGGATTGGACTATGACTGAAGGAGTGGGATCGGTTTCTTGATTTATACATTTTTATTTATTTTATTTTGTATGATGTTGTTTTTATTTTACCTTTGCGCAATGTTTTTAAAATTTTCCTCAGTTCATTACCACTACAGTTGGTGACCGCATGCACATTAAATTAGTGCGAACGCCATTATATCAGAAAAGAAGACGCGAGAGCCAGGGACGTATTCATTACGCCGATTATTTTACAAAACGTTTCTTACGGATGCAAACGTTACGAAACGGGAGGGACCTACCTGAATTTGTTTTCCGTTTTGCAACTGTTTGAACTAATGAATACACCCATGAAGTCCAGGCTACTACTGGAGTAAATTGACACTGGATCTAACTAGCCCCTAAACCTTTTCCTCTTATAATGATTTAGGTTATTTTGGGAGGGGTAAACTCAAACTGACATTGTGCCAGAAGACAACTTCTGACTCTCACCTGATTCCCTTTGGGTCTACACCCGCTCTGACACGGCCGCCGCAGACCTGGGTTCCTAGTGACTAGATTTCCATGGAACGATCTCATTTCAGTATCGGTGAAAGAGTGCAACCCCTCCCGCAGTTTGAGGAGGCAGTACCCCGCTTTGAGCCAGTTCTTATACCCGCCATCGTTCAGACGAGCACTCAACTCTTCGTGTACCATTTAAAAATGAAGAAAAAAACACCAACATAAAGAAGCGCGAGATCTTAAAACAAACCGAAGAGTATGCCGACTATATCTCTGTCATACTACATAAAAGGTCAACAGGGAAACAAAAGTGCGTATAATCCGTGATGTCAAGTTTCCGCGTTTGTCTTGAATCGAACCCCGCCCAGTTCCTGTCAGTGCGGTATGGGAATTGTAGTACGCTAAACTAGACATTTACAGCTGCCGTCGGTCTGTCCTGAAACAGCGAAACTGTCTGTATAGCCTAAATATGATTTATTAAAGTGATAACGACAATACAGGTAAAATAATGGAAATTATTCATTAGAAAATCTAAAGATGTATCTATAACTATAGGCCTAGGCCACACATTATTAGTACCCTAACAGCCTAAGTCCAACATGAGCTTACCTACATAACAGTACTCACCTATACAGGGCAGACTTTAGTTCACAGAATAGTACAAATGAATAAGAAACTTGTGAAAGTACAGTTGTCAGGATGGCCGAGCGGTCTAAGGCGCCAGACTCAAGGTGTGAATCCTTCCTGGATAAAGGGGTATTCTGGTCTCCGAATGGAGGCGCGGGTTCGAATCCCGCTTCTGACAATGCTTTTCCCTAACAACATCGGAGTAAAACAGTCTACACAGTGGATTCCCCTAAGTGGTGATAAGAAAACACATGAGCCGGGAAATTACTTAGATACATTTTACCATTGCCTAGTTTTAAATGCACTCGCCTATGCTATTTCAGAGTGATCGAGACAGATCAGCGGCATTTCAAGTAGGAGGAAAAGAGTGTGTGAGTGTTTTCCTCCAAGAGGTGGCGCCATCATCATAGCAAACGCCAGAGGCAGCCCTGCATGGACGAGGTTTACTGCTGGCTGAAAGGACAAGTTTTACTGGTCACCAACCTTCCTGGAGATTTATTTACAGGGTATCCACAGAACCAAGGTGTATGTGTGTTAGAAATATATACCAAGATGTGCATTATAAGAAACGTGTGGCTTAACCCTGCAGCAGTAAAGCATGCATATTTTGTTTCTGTAGTTAGAGGACAGACAACAACCCACCCACCTAATTTAAGGACTAGTGGAATACTCTGATACAGTAAACCACATACTTACAATTATAGGACCCAACTTAAAACAGATTTATACAACAAATATAAATTATGAAAATGAAAAGAAATGTTGTGTTGTATCAAATAATTTCATCTTTACATGAACATTTAATTAGTCTTTTAGGATGCACACCGAAAAACAAATATCCCTCTATCTTTGTAATTGGATCTCTACGGATTTGATGAAAGTTAAAGTAGATTAGACACCCTGGAGTGTGTGTGTGTGTGTGTGTGTGTGTGTGCACGTGCTTGCGTCCGTACTTCCCTGTGAGTGTATGTGCATAAATGTGGCCTGCTTAGTGAAGTGAGAGGGACAGACAATGATGTGCGTGTGATCCCAGCAGGGGGTTGTTTTAAGCAAAGGGAGTTCAAAGAGACATTAGTATTCTGAAATAAATCATACGCCCAGGTCTCACTGTGAGAGTCCCCAAACCCCCTACACACACGCGGGCGAGCACGCACACAAACAGGCACGTCCACACACACATGCATGACCCCTCCCAACACACACACATACACAAACACACCAAGCACATACACAAGCACACACACAAGGATGCACAAACATATGGACGCACGCACACAAGCTTGCATGCTTTTACATACATACACATTACATCTCTCTCCACTCGGTTCAACCCACTGTCTCTCTCTTCAAAAGACTGCCTGCCCCCCCCCCCCACGGGGCTTCATAGCTATCTGCTCACTGGCTCTGATTCCTTTGTTACCCTCTGACTGTTTCTCACATTTGCACAAAATACAGTTTCCACCCACTTCTACAAAAAAGCAGAAAAATGTGGGATGGTTTAATTATATGTAATTGTCTTTACTGTCTGGTTTTACTGAAACGTTAGTGTTGCACTTTCTAAGGACTTCACACTGAAGTTGTTGTTAGTTTTATTGAATAGTCATTCTAAGGATGGGTATATTATTTTTTGAAGACTGTCACCTGGACGTCGAAAAGAAAGAGAGAAAGGAAAGGGAGATGGAGAGAGACAGGGAAGAAAGACACTGGAATCCATTTCTTCTTTCATACGTAGAATTAGAATGAGTGTAATTACAATTCTGTTTTTATGACTTGAGCATGTGTGGGACTGAGAAGACTTAGGGTCAAAATAGTTCTTAAATGACACTGGTGACACAGTGTCACGAACGTTGAGAGACGGGTCAGACCAAGGTGCAGCGTGGTATGCGAGCATGTTTATTAAACTCAATAAACATAAACAAAACAAGAAACAGCATAATGTGAAGTCCTCAGGCTATACACATACAAGCCTAACACGGAACAAGATGCCACAACTAAGGTAGGCAAACAGGCTACTTAAGTCTGATCCCCAATCAGAGACAACGAGCGACAGCTGCCTCTGATTGGGAATCACACCCGGCCAAACCTAGAAATACACATCTAGAATCTAAACATAGAAATAATAACATTGATCCTCACGCCGTGACCAAACCAACTAAAGACAACCGGCCTCTCAAGGCCAGGGCGTGACACACAGAGAGCAAACAGCATACAGTGCTATGAAAAAGTATTTGCTCCCTTTCTAATTTTCTCTACTTTTGCATATTTGTGATACTGAATGTTAACAGATCTTCAACCAAAACCTAATATTAGATAAAGGGAACATAAGTGAACAAATAACACAACAATTACATATTTATTTCATTTATTTCATAAACAAAGTTATGCAACACCCAATTCCCCTGTGTGAAAAAGTAATTGCCCCCTTACACTCAACAACTGGTTGTACCACCTTTAGCTGCAATGACTCCAACCAAATGCTTCCTGTAGTTGTTGATCAGTCTCTCACGTTGGACGACATGGTTCCAGTAATGCCTGGCGAAAACCAAACTCTGCATTCCACAGTAAGAACATCATACCAAAGGTCAAGCATGGTGATGGTGGTGTGATGGTTGGGGGATGCTTTGCTGCCTCAGGACCTGGACGACTTGCCTTAATAGAAGGAACCATGAATTCTGCTCTGTATCAGAGAATTCTACAGGAGAATGTCAGACCATCCGTCTGTGAGCTGAAGCTGAAGCGCAGCTGGGTCATGCAGCAAGACAACGATCCAAAACACACAATCAAGTCTACATGAAAATGGCTAAAAAGCAACAAATTGGAAGTTTTGGAATGGCCTAGTCAAAGTCCAGACCTAATCCCAATTGAGATGTTGTGGCAGGACTTGAAACGAGCAGTTCATGCTTGAAAACCCACACGTCACTGAGTTAAAGCAGTTCTGCATGGAAGAGTGGGCCAAAATTCCTCCACAGCGACATGAGAGACTGATCAACAACTACAGGAAGCATTTGGTTGGAGTCATTGCAGCTAAAGGTGCCACAACCAGTTATTGAGTGTAAGGGGGCAATTACTTTTTCACACAGGGGAATTGGGTGATGCATAACTTTGTTTATGAAATAAATATGTAATTGTTGTGTTATTTGTTCCCTTATGTTCCCTTTATCTAATATTAGGTTTTGGTTGAAGATCTGATAACATTCAGTATCACAAATATGCAAAAGTAGAGAAAATTAGAAAGGGGGCAAATACTTTTTCATAGCACTGTATGTCCCAGTGTCTACAGGGACGATAGCAAGCAGTTGTCAACACAGTTATCATCACTCACACAAAGAATATGGTGACACATACATAGGCACACACACACACGCGTCTGAAGGCATCCAGTGTTTTAGAGAAACAATCAGATCCATGAAAGGTAAACACTCTGCTCCTGACAGTAACTCAAACATGTGATTATGAGGTTGTGTGCATGTGTGCGAATGTGTAATTGTCTGTGTGTGTCTGTGCTCCCGCGCGTGTATCTGTATATGTGTGTGTGTACTTTGATAGCCACCCACATGAATATGCAGATGTGTTTCAGGGAGCGTATGTGCTCGGCATTAAAGCCCACTCTCCACTGCTGACCCAATTTCACACCGCATATTGTGTGTGTGTATATGTATGCTTGTATGACTGTTATTGCATTTCACCACCCTAAAGCAGTGAGTGATGGAGACTCAACCAGACAGGCATTCATGTGTGTGTGTGTGTGCGTGTGTGCGTGTGATGCCTCTCCTGTGTGAGTGTTCATATAAAACAAACAGGTTGTTAATGTGGTTTTCTCCTTACCCAGAGTGTCACAGGTTACATTACTCACATGTGATGCCTGGAGGTTTAATATTGACCTGTGATTCATTCATCACACACTCTGTCTGCACCCTGAGAAGCATCACACAACACATACACACAAACACACACAGAGAGAGAGAGGTTAGTCAATGACCCGTGAGGTGAGAACACCGAAGGTGAGACATTTGGCGAGAGGAGTCTTTTAGTGGCCAACCAAAGATTCTGACATTTGGCACTGTGGTGTGCGTGTGTGTCTGTGTGTCTGTGTGTGTGAGAGAGATATACAGTGCATTTGGAATGTATTCAGACCCACTTTTTGTTACGTTACAGCCTTATTCTAAAATGGATAACATTATTTGTTTCCTCATCAATCTATACACAATACCCCATAATGACAAAGCAAAAAAAGGGTTTTATAAATGTATGCTAATTTATTACAAATAAAAAACCAAGCCATGAGGTTGAAGGAATTGTCCGTAGAGCTCAGAGAAAGGTACAGTGGGGAGAACAAGTATTTGATACACTGCCGATTTTGCAGGTTTTCCTACTTACAAAGCATGTAGAGGTCTGTAATTTTTATCATAGGTACACTTCAACTGTTAGAGACGGAAAAATCCAGAAAATCACATTGTATGATTTTAAAGTAATTAACCACGACAGGACCTGGTCAATGACCTGAAGAGAGCAGGGACCACAGTCTCAAAGAAAACCATTAGTAACACACTACGCCGTCATGGATTAAAATCCTGCAGCGCACGCAAGGTCCCCCTGCTCAAGCCAGCGCATGTGCAGGCCCGTCTGAAGTTTGCCAATGACCATCTGGATGATCCAGAGGAGGAATGGGAGAAGGTCATGTGGTCTGATGAGACAAAAATAGAGCTT